AGTGTAATTTGAATGCTGCATAAACTTTTTACTCTTATTTTGAACATTTCCTATTTTTTCAGTGTGCTTCAGGCATTGAATTAAAAATTTGTTTATTTTTATAAAATTAAATTGGTCAGCCAAAACATTAAAAAACATTTCCTTGTACTTTTATCAGTTAAATAAAGATTCAAGAGAAATACCAAATCACAGATGCCTGTTTTTGTTGCATTGTACAAAATATCACAGCATTTGTGTGTGTATGTATATGTATATATTTACAGGCACACAAACAGTGAGGTCTGAGACCACTAGAGGAATTTTTTTTTTTAAAACACTTTTTTTAAACACTGTATCCACTCACTGATAATGACCCACAACCCAAATAACACCTGCTCTGTGGAGGTCCTGTGGGGGTCCTGATCATTGAAGAACAGGGTAACAAAGTAGAAAAAAGAAACAGATAGACTACAGTCTATAACTGTAGAACGACAGAGTGAAATTATATGGTCAGTGGAGCTGATACAGTGGACAGTGAGTGTAGATACAAGGAGGGGGACTTAATGAAGTGGCCGGTCAGTGTTTATATTTTCATTACTTTTTCCTTTTTACAGATTGCTTTATTTTTAAACTTTGTACATTTTAATTGGGTGTATATCTCTTTTGAATTCAGATTAGAATAAGAACTTCACTAAATATGATTCATCAAGTTTCTATCAGATGTTAACAAAATGTGATGCTTTTATTGTTGCTCTGTCCTTAGTGTTCACCGTCAAGTCTACTTCATCCTAAGCCTAAAACATTCTAATTCTAAAACTAAGGTCTACCCTGCTTTAACTGAATGTGTTTTGTTAGGTTTTCCAGCTTTCCAGTGATTTGCTTTAAATAAACACCTTTCTTTAATGTGGTGAGTGGTTTCAGATCGCTAGCAAAACTACTAAGATACGCAGTGGAAAGAGTAAAAACTACCTAACCATTCTGACTGTGCCACATAAGGGGCAGAGGGACGTCCAGGCATTCTAGGCCTGCATTATCTGTTAGCATAAAAACTACAGAATCAGATAGCTTCTCTCTGAAGGCACAAAGGGTGGACCTGACACACAGACCACCTCAATGAGACACAAAGCCCAGCAGCATGTACTGAACCCTTAGATAAAATAACAATATAATATAATTAAAAACACAAGCGCTGCTCACTGCTGCTCATCTCACTCTGACTGGACTCACGTGATGATGGTTGTCATGGTAACATCCACACTAAGTGGTTCTCTACACATGAGCGTCATTATGGATCGTATTACTCATAGTGAGCATGTAAACAGAGATGTTCATCAGATTGTTGAGTAGAGTGAGAATATAAACAAATAAGATTCATATTTGTGTGTGCGCGCTATCGCTACACATTTAAACATGGGATGCTTTAAAATGATGTCAGACTCAGGAAAACGTGCTGCAGCTTTAGTGTACGGCTGATTATCGTGGACAATCACTTATATCCGTTTATCTGTGCTTAGAGAAAGATTTGCAATATTTTTATTGTTTTTAGAAAATGTGACTGATGTAGATTAGATAATAGTCCTCAATAATAAAGATATTTATATTTTATTATCATGTTTTTCGTCCTTTAGCGCCAATGACAGCTCAAAGCTCTCTGTGATAGCTGTGAATGAGGGTCAGTGTTTTCTCAGGGGGTGAAGCTGGTGGTCTGCTCTTTCTATAGAATCTTTCTGTTCTGGTTGCTCCGGTAACGAGAACCGCTTATCAACCAGCCAATCAATGGACTGCTCTTGTGAACTTCTAGCCAATCGTAGTGCAGGAGGCGGGGTTTGTCGGAAAACGGTGGGATGACGTCATTTTAATGTGAGTTCCTCTGCAATCCAGGTGGGGGTGCTAGTTCCGTAACTGTGGCATTCCAAACACAGTAAAGAGGAGAAGAAGAAGAGTAAAAACAGCAGCTCTGTGGTATTAGAGAGAAACAGGAGCTGATCTGCTGTAGGTAAAGAGCTGTTTATCACTTTTTCACTCTGTTTACACTGTTTATAACTCACTCTTACAGAAATAGAACTAAAAGGGAGGAGAAATATTCTCTTTTGAGAATTTGAGAGATAAGCTAACTCAGAAGCAGCCTTCACCCAGGCTGCGCTGAGCTGAGGAGGCTGATGTTAGCGCTTAGCTCTGTGATTTTGGGTGATAATAATGTTTTTCTAGTTGAGTTTAAAAGGTCAGAAATGAGTGGAAACCGCTCACCTTTATTCAGTTACTTGTAGGATAAACACTGAAGGATTTATATTGACCTCAGTGTTTTCAAATGTGAATATACTGGAGTATATGAGTGACCACAGCACTCCACTTCCTCTACTTTCCTCAGTCCCTCTTTAATCATCAACATTTAGTCCCTAATTCCTTTTTTTGGGTTTAATTTCATTCTGCAGTCCTGATTCAGCTCCTGTTCTGTTTTACTGTTGATTCTCTCACTTTGGAGCTTTAGTGTTTTATTTTTTACCAAAAGAGAAGAATAGAGCCGTACGAGTTCCTGTTCTGATAGATTTTATCTAAGTTACACAGTAGTTAAGTAGTTTTGAGTTGATTCTTTTGTGTTTTTTTCTACGCTGGTTAAGGTAGGGTGTGGAGGGTCGCTGGTTAAGGTAGGGTGTGGAGGGTCGCTGGTTAAGGTAGGGTGTGGAGGGTCGCTGGTTAAGGTAGTGTGTGGGAGGAGGCTGGTTAAGTTAGGGTGTAGGACGTTGCTGGTTACGTTGGGGTGTGGGACGTCACTAGTTGCGTTTCGGTGTGGGCGTTGCTGGTTACGTTGGGGTGTGGGACGCTGCCGGTTAAGTTAGGGTGTGGGACGTCGCTGGTTACGTTAGGGTGTGGGACGTCGCTGGTTACGTTGGGGTGTGGGAAGTCGCTGGTTAAGTTAGGGTGTAGGACGTCGCTGGTTACGTTCGGGTGTGGGACATCGCTGGTTACGTTCGGGTGTGGGACGTCGCTGGTTACGTTCGGGTGTGGGACATCGCTGGTTACGTTCGGGTGTGGGACATGGCTGGTTAAGTTCATAAGTTAATAAGCCAACAGCTGAATTACACAGCTGACATTGAACAGTACCAGCAACATTCGGGTTCGGGTGTGGGACGTCACAGCTGATGTTGAACAGTACCAGAAGTCAGGGCATCATTCATTTCAGTGGGAGATTAAGTCCTTATTTTATTGCTTTTGCCAGGTTCAAGTTTTTCAAATGTTTGAGCCCTTATGACGGCATGGCAGTTATCGCCTTTTATGCATTTTCACTGGGTTACTTGTCAATCATCAACGATATCCCATTTCATCGTCCAGGACTATCACAACCCAGTTTTAGCTTTATTTGCAGTGTCAGCCCTATTTTCATTTAAAATCTCCTGTTACATCATGTACCCCATAATGCCATGTATCTTAACAAGTTTCTCAGGAAAAACAGGCCAAAACATGATAAATCCCATACCATACTTAACCATGAGGATGAGGTTATTCTCTGTAACAACCATTCTTTTTTAAAGCCAAATTCACCTCGAGTGTTTATTGCCAAAATGATTTTTTTTTTTTGTTTCATCTGACCAACCAAGTTCCAGTAATAACTAGCAAGCTCCTAGCTCTTTGGCGCACCTTCAGTATTCCATTGAAATGGAGGTAGCATCAAATTGTAGTTTTTACATCCCAGTAAAACAGGAAATCATGGATGACTGCTTAACCCCAACATTTACGCTGAAATGTAAATGAGATCAACCTTCAGTTACATTTTTAATAATAATTTCTAGAGGTGCCATTAATGTAGGTCTGATAGAGTATTTTGTATTAGGCTAAATCCACTTAAATTAAGGGTTAGATTTTTCTGATGTGACTATGACTTAAAGCTATTTAACCACAAAGACACATTTTAATGACCTCTCCAGATTTTTTTATTTGTTCCAATCCAGGTTATTAGCTCCAGACAGTTACCCAGAGACAGGGACGGGGGAGTAGCTAAGTAGTGCGGTACTATTTGTAGCTAGCTAAAAATATTTGTAGCTAGTAGCTGTAGCCACTACAGTTTTACGAAATGTAGCTAGTAGCTGTAGCGGCTACCAATCTTTGTGTAGCTACAGCGAAAATTTTCGCTACAATTTTGGCTGTAAATAAGTCTCAGTGTGTGCTGATGTCCTAGTATAGGATAAAAATATAAATTAAAACTCAGACTCACTTTGCTCTGCTTTAACCTTTAGCTCAGCTGTAGCCGCTTTTCTTGCACCTCAGGAAACTTTTCCGTGAGTTTCTTGTAAAAGGTCTCTCAATGTTCGACTTTTTACGAGGCTGAAGTTCCTCATTCACCAGCTTCTTGTTTGAATTATCTCGTTCCACCTTAAAAGGTGCCTGAGGCACCAGATGGAACTGCTGCGGCATTTAAGGTGGAATGGGAGAATTCGAATGAGAAGCAGGAGAATGAGAAGCGACTTCAGCCTCGCAAGTTGTTGCAGATTAAATGTATCAGGAAACGAGCTGAGTGATTATAACTGCAAATAAGTCCATTAATCTCCAAATTATTGATGTTCTCCTGAAATCTTCCTCTTTGCCTTTTCGTTATTTGCGTTGCTGTGTGTCCAGCAGTCTGCACGTCAGTCTTCAGCGTTAAAGGGTGAATTAGCAGTTCTACATTAACTCCAGCATTTAAGACCATTTATTGTGAAAACTGGGTTAGAACTGTGTGTTATAACAATTTTACAGCAAAGGAGGATTATTTTGTTGTTTTACCTAACAATCTAGTTCTGCAGTGGAGGCGCAGCAGCTCTGCAGCAGTGGAGAGATTATTCAGGCCTGATTCTCACTCCAAACAGAGCCAGGGTCACTGATGAGAATTTTGAGGCTAAAGTGTTGCTGAAGTTTAACGAAGGACTCTGAATCTCTGTCTGTATCTTTCAAAAATGTGTAAATTGGAGCAGTTTTATTTCAACAGTTGACAATGCTTTGCACAATTTGTTTAATTTGTATAATTATTTTTGTTGATTTTTGTTAGGAAAAGCCTGGAATGATTGATTTTGCCTTTACTTAGTCTAAATTCTTGTTGGATATCACGCCTTTGGTTGTGTAAGTCTGATTGTTTGTTACACTTAAAAGCTTTTCAATCGTATGTTTCTTTCTGGCACATGATTACATGCAGAAATCAAACACACTGGTGTCATCTGCAAACTCAATCAGTTTTACAGAGTCACTGTTAGAAATGCATTCATTGGTGTAGAGCAGGGGTCATCAACCCTAGTCCTGGAGATCTGTCTTCCTGCAGATTCTAGTTCCAGCTCCAGTCTACAACACCTGCTCCATCTAATCAACTTCTTCAAAAGTCCTTCATTGGATGGATCTGCTTCCTTATTGTGAGGTAAGACATGCTAGATGCAGGTTGGAGCTGAAGTCCGAAGGAAAGTTGATCTCCAGGGATATGGTTGGTGACCATTGGTGTGGAGCAGTGATTCCTAACCCTGGTGTTGGAGTACTCCTGGTCTGTACATCTTAGTGTTTTCTGTGCTCCCAACACATGATCCAACCTTCCAGCTCATTAAAAAGCCCTTCCTGAGTTGAAATGGGTGCGTTAGAGCAGGAAAACTCTAAAATGTGCAGGACAGGGGGTACTACAGGACCAGGGCTGATGACCTGTGGTATAGAGGCAATAGAGTAGGGGAGAGATCACACACATGTATGGAGTGCCAATGCTAAGGCAGACAGGTGTCCTAAATGTAGTCACTGGCTCTGGCATACTCTTTTATTTTTGGATATGAAGTTATGGAGGTTGAGAATGAATGCAGAGCTAAAATCTACAAACAACACACATGTAAATTCCAGATCTGAATCCAGGTGCTGCGTGATGTGATGTATAGCCAAATTAATGGCACCATCTCTGTACCTGTTAACTCTGTCCACAAACTGCAGAGGGTTGTGCCAGTCAAAGTTTTAAGGAACTGTAGTATGAGTGTCTTAAACACTTCATGACTACAGAGTTTAAGATAACTAGTCTGTAGTCATTCAGGCAAGAGATCATCTGCTTTTTTAGGTACAATGCTTAGGTAGCTTTTTTTTTAGCTCAAGGCTCAACGTTACAAAGTTATTGGTGACACAGTAAGAATGAAAGAATCTATTGCACATTTAAAAGCTACTACAGTTGCTGACACAGCTTAATGTTCCCAAACCATGTGACTAGTTTAACAGTGTGTTTTTTCCATAATTTTTGTTGGGCTTGGTATTGATTTTTCTTTTTTTCCTTTTTCTTCTCCAGAATGATCTTGTGCTGCAAATCTTCTGCTCCTCATGTCCACTTTCTTGTATAAATCTAACTGACTTTTGCAAGCATATCACGCAACACCAACAAAAGGAATTTGTCACCTTTGAAATTTGGAAAGATGAAATCTGAGGACATGGTGTCTGGAAACTCCAGCACTCCAAAAACATCCTCTGCTGCTATCCACACAAACGCATCTCCCAGAGAAACACAGAAGATTACAGGAAAAGAAAAAAATCACCACTGTTCAGACTGTGGGAAGAGTTTTACTAGACTGTGTAATCTCCAAAGGCACCAGCGCATTCACACAGGAGAGAAACCGTATCACTGCTCAGAATGCAGACAGAGTTTTAGAGACAGTGGTTCCCTCAAGACACACCAGCATGTTCACACAGGAGAGAAACCGTATCACTGCTCAGAGTGTGGAAAGAGTTTTAGTGTACAAAGTCATCTCCAAACACACCAGCGCATTCACACAGGAGAAAAACCATATTACTGCTCAGAGTGTGGGCAGAGTTTTAGTAGACAAAATCATCTCCAAATACACCAGCGCATTCACACCGGAGAGAGACCGTATCACTGTTCAGAGTGTGGACAGAGTTTTAGTAGACAGAGTCATCTCAGAAGACACCAGCGCATTCACACAGGAGAGAAACCGTATCACTGCTCAGAGTGTGGACAGCGTTTTAGTGTACAAAGTTATCTCCAAACACACCAGCGCATTCACACAGGAGAGAAACCGTATTACTGTTTTGAGTGTGGACAGAGTTTTAGAGAAAGTGGTGCCCTCAAGAGACACCAACGCATTCACACAGGCGAGAAACCGTATCACTGCTCAGAGTGTGGAAAGTATTTTAATCAGCTGATTCATCTCCAAATACACCAGCGCATTCACACAGGACAGAGACCGTATCACTGCTCAGAGTGTGGACAGAGTTTTACTAGACAAGGTCATCTCCAGTCACACCAGCGCATTCACACAGGACAGAAACCATATCACTGCTCAGACTGTGGGCAGAGTTTTAGTGAAAGTGGTGCCCTCAAGAAACACCAACGCATTCACACAAGACAGAAACCATATCACTGCTCAGAGTGTGGAAAGTATTTTAGTCAGCTGAGTAATCTCCGAAAACACCAGCGTATTCATACAAGGTAGAAACCGTATCACTGCATTGAAGAATATCATGCATTCAAATTTAAAGACACTTAAATGAAATACAAACTGCATGTCGCATCAAAAACAATAATGATTTTGATGATTTGGGGCTGCAACCTGGGCCCAGAAATTGGTGTTTCTGGTGTTCAGAGAGCATGATGGTGATTCAGGGCTAGATTGATGTTGTGACACCAAACAGACAGATCATGTACACTATATTGCCAAAAGTATTCACTCACCCATCCAAATCATTGAATTCAGGTGTTCCAATCACTTCCATGGCCACAGGTGTATAAAACCAAGCACCGAGGCCTGCAGACTGCTTCTACAAACATTAGTGAAAGAATGGGTCACTCTCAGGAGCTCAGTGAATTCCAGTGTGGTACCGTGATCGGATGCCACCTGTGCAACAAATACAGTCGTGAAATTTCATCCCTACTAAATATTCCACAGTCAACTGTCAGTGGTATAATAACAAAGTGGAAGCGATTGGGAACGACAGCAACTCAGCCACGAAGTGGTCGGCCACGTAAAATGAGTGGGGTCAGCGGATGCTGAGGCGCATATTGCGCAGAGGTCGCCAACTTTCTGCAGAGTCAATCACTACAGGCCTTCAAACGTCATGTGGCCTTCAGATTAGCTCAAGAACGGCGTAGAGAGCTTCATGGAATGGATTTCCATGGCCGAGCAGCTGCATCCAAGCCTTACATTACCAAGCGCAATGCAAAGCGTCGAATGCAGTGGTGTAAAGTGCCGCCACTGGACTCTAGAGCAGTGGAGACGTGTTCTCTGGAGCGACGCTTCTCCATCTGCCAATCCAATGGACGAGTCTGGGTTTGGCAGTTGCCAGGAGAACGTTACTTGTCTGACTTCATTGTGCCAAGTGTAAAGTTTGTTGGAAGGAGGATTATGGTGTGGGGTTGTTTTTCAGGAGTTGGGCTCGGCCCCTTAGTTCCAGTGAAAGGAACTCTTAATGCTTCATCAGACAAAGAGATTTTGGACAACTGATGAGCGAGTTTGGTGTAGAAGAACTTGACTGGCCTGCACAGTCAACCCGACAGAATACCTTTGGGATGAATTAGAGTGTAGACAGAGAGCCAGGCCTTCTCGTCCAACATCAGTGTCTGATCTCACACATGCGCTTCTGGAAGAATGGTCAAAAATTCCCATAAATGCACACCTAAACCTTGTGGAAAGCCTTCCCAGAAAAGTTGAAGCTGTTATAGCTGCAAAGGGTGGGCCAACATCATATTAAACCCTATGGATTAAGAATGGGATGTCACTCAAGTTCATATGCACGTGAAGGCAGATGACCAAATACTTTTGGCAATATAGTGTATCTCCCTCCTGTAGGCAGACTCATCATTGTTGCTTATAAGTCCAATCACAGTGGTGTCACCTGCACACTTAATTAGTTGTTTATGTTGAGCTTGACTACAGAGTCATGGGTGAACAAGCTATATAACCGGGAAACCGGTCACATCCTCAATGTATAGGATTTTGCACCAACATTTAAACCAAACTAATAATTAATAAAGTTAATTTTCTGTTTTGGGGGGTGGAACAGTAGGTTAGTTTTTGTGATTAGCTAGCTTAGCTGGTAATGGACATGGTGTCACACATTGTCACATAGCCAAGGATTCAAAGGAAATTTGTAATATTCTCTGTTTCGAATATCTTATTATTTTCGTCTGAGGGATTTCAGGGAAGGGAGAAGAGTGAGCAAAGCTTAAAAGTGACAACATGGAGATGGAAAGTCTAGTTAATGTTCTTTTAAGCGTGTATTCCTGAATAAGCCCAACCCCTCCACTCTGTTGATGCCTGGAGAGTCTGATGATCACAGTTGAAGAAGTGACAATGCTAGAGGCTGACCAACACATTGAAGAGTCATCATGTTCACTTAAACCAATGAACCAAAATATTATGACCAACTGCCTAATATCTTGTTGGTCTTAAATGTGCTTGTTTGATCTCAAAATAAATGTAAAATCATGCCTGAAACATTGGGATGGTTTTCAGTGTTGAAAGATATGCCATTTGCACGATTTGGACATGATATAAACTTTATCTCCAACTATCACAGGAGAAACCTCTGGTAGTGCTGAGATTGGAATGACGGAAATTTTGGATAAATATTCCCTTAATCAGTAATCAAATAGATTAGATATAATCAATAACCAAATAGGAAGTCTTGCCTAACAGAGAATGTTAATTCTCTCACAGAGGGTCGGCCTTAGACTGTCTGCACAGGAGATTATAGACACTGGAAAGCAGCTGGGTTCACAGAGAGGCCTGTGTGTACCTACCGACCCAGTGAAGAAAGGGGCAAGTTGACCTTGAAAGGTAGAGCAGGCTGGTAAAAACCTGCTGAAGCCAGTTTTGAGGAGTGAGCTCATCATGCGATGGCCAAACTGATGGACGAAGAGATGCACCTATTAGAGAATGAGCTAATATCAAAATTTGAGAAATAAGGCGGGGGGATATCAAACCACCCCAGATAAATGGTATCTAAACTGTAGTTTGGAACTCTGTATTTGAGCAGTTGGGTCTCTCTGAGCCGCCTGATGCTGAAATAAAGAAGCCTTTTTCCCTTTTCCACAAACTCAGCGTCTGAAGACTCTTTCCTTTTTTACATCTTTTGAGAACTTAGAACAGTTATTAGTAAAAGTGTTTCGCTGGTATTAAAAGATTTTATTCATAATATTATGGTGGAGGCCTGGGGGTGAAGGGGACAGCCCTTGGTCCCGACAGGAACATGACCCCATGACTTTTGTTTTTACCAGTCAACATTGCTGAATTGCTGCACATTTTGTTGATGTGTAAATCCTCACATTAAAGAAAACTTTTACAGGTCATTTAACACTTGGGTGACGATAGACCAGCATCTTTACAGGTGCAGCCAATGGCCCTGATTTCTTCTAAAGCTAAAGTGAATCCCTGGATGAGAAAGTGAGTAAATGCTTGTCGTAGTGGTGTTTTCCAAAGCTGGAGTATGTTCTTCTTTAAATTAAAGCTGTTCTTTAACTTACACCACCTGTCCAGTAAGGTCTTCTACAGCAAATCAAATCACGTTTGTCACATCACCTTTACACAGGTGTGAAAGCAAGTGAAAATCTTAGGTGCCCCCTTCTAGTACTTAAACACAACAAAGTATATGTAACAAATAAATATGTATATATATATATATATATATATATATATATATATATATATATATATATAGCAACCCCATTTCCAAAAAAGTTGCAATGATGTGCAAATCATTTAAACCCTATATTTCATTGAAAATAGTACAAAGACAACATGTTGAAACTGAGAAATTTTACTGTTTTTTGAAAAATATTTGCCCATTTTGAATTTAATGCCAACAACATGTTCCAAAAAAGTTGGGATGGGGCAACAAAAGGCTGGGAAAGTTGTGTAATGCTAATTAAAAACACTTGGTGGTAAATTGTCAACAGGTCAGTAACATGATTGTGTATAAAGAGCATCTCAGAGAGCGGAGTCTTTCAGAAGTAAAGATGTGGAGAGGTTCGCCACTCTGTGAAAGACTAAACAGGCAAATAATGCAACAATTCAAGAATAACATTTCTCAACATTATAACTTAAGTGTATGCTTAAGTGTTAACTTACTGACGTCACCAGCTCTGAATACGGCTCTGTGTTTTTAAACACACTCCTCCTGAAGGTTCTACTGTTTCCAGTGTTCATTACAGTCATCTAACCACATCAAATTAATAATAAACTTTTAATGTAAATTAACGGAAGAAGATTATTCTCTTATTTCTTTTAGTCCATTCATCAGGGAGTTTTGACATCAACTGGGATTTACAATCTCTGTGCAAAAGTATTAATTAAGAACAATAAAAAATGAAGATATGAGGTTTTGGTCAGACAGCAACTATTTGTGTGACAGTTCATTCATTTATATTATTCTCTTATTGGATTATTGGTAAATAGTCCAAGATAAAAAAGGTTGAGGGATGCTGGGGAGTAGAGTCTAACTGGAGGAGTTAGAGGGAAGGAAATGATGTCATTAGTATATATTTAAGACTCATTGTGCTTATATGTTCACTGCCGGACAACATTGCACTCATTAGGTTGGTTAGATTAGTCCTGAAACTGTGCTAATAAAGTTCGACTGTGGTGTTTCAGGACTTTCTGATGTTCTTCCTGAAGGCGGTGAGATACTGGGGGATGGTGAAAAGGGTCACAAGCTTGGCAACCATGCTTTCCATGCAGAAGGTCCATCCTGGAATCATCTCACATCTCAAGTCCAACCACACCAAACACTTCTGAACCAGCACCACGTTCAGCAGCACATTAACAATGAAGTCCATATCTAGGCTTGAATCAAATCCCCCAGAAACCACACTAGCAGCTATATTAGAGATTAACAGCTTTACACAGTGTGAGGTTTAGACACGCGGTTAGCTCTGCGCTAACTGACAGAGTCAGTGCTTCAAATAAAAAAAAACGCTGGTACTCCTTCGTATGTACATGATAGTGTTGAATTAACCAACACTGGAGTTGAATTAACACCTACAGTACTGAAATATTTTAGTCCAGACCACAATGACCACTGTAAGAGTTGATTCAACACTGGGGATTCTGCTGTGTATGATGCCTCCCTTCCACAGTTCCCTGAGATAAGCATCCCTTGAAATATAGCAAATTAAAAAAATAGCTTTTATATTTATGATAATATGCTAATAATTATTACTGATTGTAATTATAATTCAGTGCCATTAGGAGTGTGTCGCTGCCCTGCACTCCTTCATTCCTAAACTGCTTTGAGGACTTCGAAGCCTGCAAACCTGCACAACTTCACACAAAGGCGTTTACCTTAACTAGTGCGATCTACATTAAGGTAACAATAAACATTAATGATGCACAGACTGAAAGGACATTTAGAGACACACTGCCCTCATCAGCGCTAACGCTATGGAGCTGCTTTAGACCACACAGCAGAAAGCTGAGGTGCTCGTGTGCTTAATCAGTCGGCTCTGCTGTTTAAAATGGAGAAGAAGTCTGCAGTTGTGGACACGCCCCTCACTGGAGTGTGTGTGCATATGACATGTGGCTGAAGTCTGATATCAAGTGAGAGTGTCACAGCAACTTGTGAACCACAGAGTGCACAACAACAACTATGGTGCAGAAAACAACTCGCTGAACAGCACAAAGGAGGGAACAAAGAGAAAACTTCTCACAGAATCTCCACAGAACACTGGCAGCTTGTGAGAAGAAGCTCTACACAATAAAAACTCACGGTGCTCCAAAAAGGACAACATGGACGTGCAGGTGCTGCGTACCGGCGAGTACCGGCCACTTCAAGCACTGCATAGAGTATCAACTTCCTGTACCTGTTACTTATGCTTGCCTTGTAGCTCCAGTGCTAAAACAGAGTGAACTTTAGGAGCATATCTGAGCTGATTGATCACGTTTCTCACTGAAACACTAATGAACACACTGTATGATCAATAACGTTCTTACAGCGCTCTCACAATGTTACACATATACAGTATAAATCAGCTCACCTTTTAATCTGTCTCTGATTTAACATCGAGCTCCTAAATCAGTCATAACTCAGTCATAACTCAGTTCTAACTCAGTTCTAATTCAGTTCTAACACAGATCTAATTCAGTTCTAACACAGTTCTAACACAGATCTAACTCAGTTCTAACACAGTTCTAACACAGATCTAACTCAGTTCTAACAAAGTTCTAACTCAGTTCTAACACAGTTCTAATTCAGTTCTACACAGATCTAACTCAGTTCTAACACAGTTCTAACTCAGTTCTAATACAGTTCTAATTCAGTTCTAACTCAGTTCTAATACAGTTCTAACTCAGTCCTAATACAGCTCTAACTCAGTTCTAACTCAGTTCTAATACAGTTCTAACTCAGTTCTAACAAAGTTCTAACTCAGTTTTAACTCAGTTCTAACACAGTCCTAACTCAGTCCTAATACAGTTCTAACTCAGTTCTAATACAGTTCTAACTCAGTTTTAACTCAGTTCTAACACAGTCCTAACTCAGTCCTAATACAGTTCTAACTCAGTCCTAATACAGCTCTAACTCAGTTCTAACTCAGTTCTAATACAGTTCTAACTCAGTTCTAATACAGTTCTAACTCAGTTTTAACTCGTTCTAACACAGTCCTAACTCGGTTCTAACACAGTTCTAACTCAGTTCTAACTCAGTTCTAATTCAGTTCTAAATCAATTTTAACGGTTCTGAGTCAGTTAGTTAACTGTAGAAAAGCTGTAGAATTGTAAGGTGTGCAGGTTCTGTGAGTGGTACAGTGTACAGTGTATTAACCTGGAGGAAATAACTAAACTTAATCGTTGTGTCATCTGTCTCATAATCTACTGGGTTCTTCTGATATTCATAGTGTGGCGTCCACCATGGGCTATGTGCTGCCGTGGGGAGCTTGGGGGACGGTGTGGCCATGCAAAGTGGCTCTCGGCATGCGCCACATGCCCAGTAAAAAAGGACATTGTTGCTGTTGTTGTTGTACAACAAACAGGTATTTGGGCATTTGCTACCAGAACATGACAACCTAGCGGTGTTGACCACAGCCCTACAGTGCCATTTCAGGCAGGCACCCGCGGCATGGTCGGTCAGGCGGCTGCTTCCGGAGAGGCAGGGGCTAAAGGCAGAGTGGGCAAGCGTGCTGGCAGTGGAATTTAACATAGAAGAAGAGTTGGCTTCCTGAACACGCTGCTGCCAGAGGAGCTGAGCTGGCACATGCAGCTTGTTGCAGCCTTCAAGCAGTTGCCACCAAGATAGAGAGGGCAGGACTCATACTCGGCATAAAGACAATGTGGCAAGCAACACACTGCTACACAGCAGAGGAGCTTGTGGAGGAGATGACATGCCGAGTGCCCCCCGAGTGGGTCAATGCCACAAACCTGAGAGGGGGCTGCCCAGTAAGGGGGCGGGCAGTCCCTGGAGAGAATAACCCTCAGTGCTGATGCCACAGACAGAAACATCGTCTGCCGCCGCAGACTTTGGGTCAAGTGAAACATAGACAGGATACAGCTGACTGTCCTCACTGACTTCAGCTCATCAGTGTCGCTGCTAAATCCAGGTGTGCTTTCTCTGAGTCTGGCACACCTGCCAACTGGAAAGCGACAACCATCCAATTTAAGTCTGTTTCTGGCAGCTGAGTCAACGCGAGAGGGAGGAAGTGGCTCCTGATCATGGTGGGGGAACCTGAGCTGAGCACACGAGTTCTGGCTCGCATTTACACAGAATGCGTTAATACTCGGGTCCCCAGGAAGGAAACGATGGCTTAGAGAGGAGACGGGTGAGAATGTGTGCAGTGGTTAGCAGCAGAACCCAGGCAGAGGTGGGGCTTCCTGGCAGTGTGGATTCCGTTCCCCATGGGGGAGCCACTGGCCCTCGAGGAGATGAACACGCAGCATCAGAGCTGGTTGGAGGATCTCCAGGGGAGAGACTGCTGGCGGGTCGAGGGCACCATGACTTTTGGTGGGTGAAGCTGTTTAAAAGGACATTCGTTGTAGTTGTTGCTGTTGTTATAGTTGAGTTTGTGTGAATTGTGTCCAAGGAGGGAGGATTTGTTGTGTGTGCTTGTGTTAAGGACAGCAGAGAGAATTATTGGGACTTCACTTCCTCCTATACAGGACATTGCAACAAGGCGCTGTCTGACCAGAGCTCAGAACATAAACAGAGACCCCTCCCACCCCCACCATGGACTGTTCTCCCTGTTAGCCTCTGGAAAGAGGTTCTGAAGTCTTCGAAGCAGAACAGCCAGGTTCAAAAACAGCTTCTTCCCACATGCAGTAAGACTGCTGAACTCTAAATAAATGCTGCTTCAATTCTTTTTTTTGATTACTCCATACGTGGGAGCTACAGTGCAATACACCCTCTTGTATATATACTTATTTAAATTTATTTATCTGTTGACATAAATATGTTTATATATGCACCACACTCTGCACTACATTGCACTTTGCGCTATATTGTATTACTTATAATTCTCCTGATCTACTCTGAGCCTATGCAACGTAATTTCATTCTAATGTGCACTGTACGGTGTAAATTTGAATGACAATAAAGTCTGTCTAAGTCTAAGTCTAAGTCTAAGTTATTGTTTGCTATCAGGTGTGGTCCAGATGAGGATGGGTTCCCCTTTTGAGTCTTGGTTCCTCCCTGTGCCAGGGGCCTGACTTGGCCCGCGGGCCTTGTGTTTGACACATGGGCTCTAAACTATACTTATAATTTTAAATTATTTTAATTTTCTAATAATATTAGCCCGTTTCACCATGACATGCACTACACTCCCCAGCATGCACTGCAACACAATGTGCACACCGACCCCTCCCCCAGTTACACAAAAGGAAAGTTGCCAAGTGTCCAGTTCAAGCAAATAGGCCAGTGTAAAAGACTGTCCTCCTGGAGACTTTAGTCATCAGTGCTGTAGATACTGTAGCTCACTGTTTTATGTAAAACAAGTTGTTTAGTTTTAAAACTAATATTATACTGAATTGTTATGTTGAGTATTCAGTGCCTGTTTTGCTGTTACAGTTTTGACGTATGTTGGATAAACAGTGTCCAAAGTGTGAAACAGAATAAAACACAGCTGCTTTGTTGAGATTTTTAATATGGCCCTTCAGTGGTTGGGTTGGACACACTTGACACAGAGTGACAGATCTTATCATTTCAGATGAATAACTGAAATATTAATCTTAGTCAGTGGTTTATTATATTTATTCTGTGTAGTTGTGTGTAAAACATACAGCCCTGTCAAATTCCATCCCACATCAATCTGTACGTGTGTTCTCTGTGGCGGGTGTGTAAACTTATTCACACCGAGAACATTAACACAAAATTGAGTCGGGGGTGTGTAAACTTTTGCGCGTGTGAGATCACATTAATGCTCTGCTGATTATCTGCAGTTTGCAGATCAAACGCAGCGAAACTGAAGGTGCTGCTGCACGAGCAGCACGAGCGCTGACGTAGGCGTGCGCGCGATGAGGAAGTTTCCGCAGTTCCTGTGTGTGAGTGAGAGAGAGTGACGCGCGTGCGCTGAACTTTCCGGGAGTCTTTAGTTCTGAGAGGTTTAACTCGGTCCGAGTTCGGTTCTGGGATTAAAGACCGAGACTAAACCCGCTGGACCAGGGGAAGGGCGACTGTGCGCGCGCGAGAGAGAGCGGAGTCCGGCGGCGGCGCGAGGCTGAGAGAGAGAGAGAGAGATGGACGCGTCTCACCTGAGCGAAGACGAAATGGCCGAAGTGAAAAAGGAAGTAAGAAACCCGGAGAGTCTGAATACAAAACCGCGCTAGACTGAGCGTTAAATTAACACTGAAAGGAGAGAGAGAGAGAGACACAGAGTGGGGGAGGGAGAGAGAGAGAGACAGAGACAGAGAGGGGGGGGGAGAGACAGGGAGAGGGTGGAGAGGGAGAGAGAGATGAGAGAGGGGGGGAGAGAGAAAGACAGAGAGAGGGGGAGGGAGAGAGAGACAGAGAGAGGGGGGGGGAGAGGGAGAGAGACAGGGAGAGGGAGAGAGAGATGAGAGAGGGGGGGAGGGAGAGGGAGGGAGAGAGAGACAGAGAGAGGGGAGGGAGAGAGAGAGAGACAGAGAGAGAGAGAGAGGGGGGAGGAGAGAGAGGGAGAGAGAGAGAGAGAGAGAGAGGGGGGAGGAGAGAGAGGGAGAGAGAGAGAGACAGAGAGAGAGAGAGGGGAGGGAGAGAGAAAGACAGAGAGAGGGGGAGGGAGAGAGAGACAGAGAGAGAGAGACAGAGAGAGGGGAGGGAGAGAGAGAGACAGAGGGGGGGATGAGAGGGGGGAGGAGAGAGAGAGAGAGAGAGAGAGAGAGAGGGCGGGGCGGCCACGCGTGGAGAGAGAGATTTCCGTTATTCACTGCAGATCAGAGAGAGCAGATTAATTCACAGATCAGACTGTATTGAGATCGTAATAAACGCAGGAGGGGTCGCAGTGACGTCACTGAGGGTCCTGCAGAGCTGCAGGTATAAAGTAGGCCGAGCAGAGCTGGAACTTTAGTGTGTCCTGCAGTACCGCGCACTGACTGCAGGGGGAGCTGCTCTTAACCGTCTGAGAACAACTCCCGAATCTAGATCTAGTCCTGCTCCAAACCGCAGTCCCACCTGAGCCAGGTGACGATTGGCTGCTCTGCATTGTATCTCATTCAAAAAACAAACCAGGCTGAAACATTCCTTAGAACTAAAGCGTGAGTAGGCGGGGCTAAACTGCTGCGGACTGAATGGGTGGGGCTAAACTGCTGTAGGCTGTATGGGCGGGGCTAAACGGCTGTGGGCTGAATGGGTGGGGCTAAACTGCTGTAGGCTGTATGGGCGGGGCTAAACTGCTGTAGGCTGTATGGGCGGGGCTAAACGGCTGTGGGCTGAATGGGTGGGGCTAAACTGCTGTAGGCTGTATGGGTGGGGCTAAACTGCTGTAGGCTGTATGGGGGGGGCTAAACGGCTGCAGGCTGATGTTTTTCATGCGCAGAGGGGGGGCTGGGTTCCAGCCGATTGGCTCTTCATACTGAAGGGCGGGACTTTCTCTGTAAACAGATGCCATGTCCAGCGCTCTGAGTGCCTCATTCCTGTTCCAGCCAGTGACTGTCTCCTCCTTTGTAACGTCTCTGGCCATGAAGGCCGCTAGTCACGGTTGTGATGTCACAGCACACAGGCGTTCAGTTTCCTCTGATTGGTCTAATTCATCTCCAGGCACAACATCAGTGTTACTGGGTTAAATATCTCCTTGTTTTGGCGACGTTGTTGATCATTTAGACGGTAATTAAAGATGCAGCTCTTTCAAACTGTAATGTCAGCATTAAACTGATGAACCGCTCAGCTCTGTGAGAGATTATTTTAGTATGTGTATGTTTTTAACCAGGTCTGTGATGTTTCTGCTGCTTTCTTATAAAACATTTTGCTCATATTTTAGATGTTCTGTAATCTTCATATCAGCGTTAATGAGTGTGGAAATGAGGCAGGTTGTTCTGACACTGTGGCTAATTTTGCCTTTTGTAAAGTTAGAAAATAGGAATATCTTTATTTTTAGATAAATTTCCTTAAATATTCCAGATCAGATATCAACACACAGGTGCCTCGTTTCCTGAGCAGTTGTACTTTGTGCCGTTAGCTCACAGTTTCAGTGGCGAACAGGCCGAAATGCGGCTGGTCTAACTGTCTGGCCTCTCACGGCTGATGTGACGCGGTGTTTCAGGTGCTGGAGAGGCTGCGGCCGTACCTGGTGGATAAGCTGATCGCAGAGCGGCATTTCGATTACCTGCGCTCCAAGAAGATCCTGACGCGCGAGGACACCGAGGAGATCAGCTGCAGGAGCACACGGGGCAAACGCGCCGGGAAGCTGCTGGACCTGCTGGCCGAAAACCCCCGAGGCCTGGACACCCTCATCGAGTCCATCCAGCGCTGCAGGACCCTCAACTTCATCATCATCAAGATCACAGACGAGGTGCAGCGCGTGAAGAACGAGAAGCTGGAGGCTCTGAAAGGTAGCTTTACTAAACACTCTTCTCTCACGGAACCGATCAGCAGAACGTCTGATCCACACAGCGTTCCCCTTATTTCAGACAAGGTCCATCAGACGAGGCTGGAGTCTGAGTCACATTGTTCTTCTTTAATTTAGTGCTGGAACTACGAGGCTAACAAAGCTAATGTAATATTTTCTGTAAATACATCCACAAAACGTCTCTCCAACCACATCCAGGTCTTCAGTGGAGGGGAATTCCAACGATTCTCCAAAATTCCCCCATAATTCAGTGTGTGAGATGTAAACAGAGCGATTCAGAGTGGTTTGGTGTGAAATGGTTCAGAGGTCTTTACAGTGGTGGTGATAGGAACCAGGGGTCGCCATGACTACAACACAGATATAGACATTTTATTTACTATGCAGAACCACCAGTGAACCTACACGAGTCTTCTGAGTTTATATGGAATGTTGATGATGGAAAATAGTGGAAAATCTGAAATAATAAGTTTTCTTTGGGGACTATTTTGCCTCACAGCGCCCTGCATGTATCCCTCCACCATGAATGGAGTTTAAGTTCTCTAAACTATCATAAAACAGTGTCTCAGTCATCAGGCAGTGAATTCATAACCATTTACTGTAGTAACTTTCTGTGAGGGAGCTTTTAGAGGTGGACGTCTGGTTCCTATCACCACCACTGTGAACAGTTCTGACTCGGTAAGTTTCTCTAGAACAGAGCGTTTCACACCAAACCACTCTGAACCACTTAATTATGCAGGAATACAGTGGAATTTCCCATTAAGGTGGAGCAGAGTTGTAGTAGTTGTATCTTAGGACAGGATTTCTCAACCTGTGGGCCACAGACCACCAGTGGGCTGTGAAGCACCCTGTAGTGGTCCTAAGGCTTGAGCTACTCAGGGGAGGCAGTAGTTCGTACTGGGCCAGTAAAGTCACTTTAAGCAATAAAAGTGGAAAAAAGAATCTCCTTCCTTGTTTGGTGAGGACCGTCACACCGTTTCTTTAGTTTGTGTCGTTTTGACGTGTGTGAACATTCCACCATATTCGGGTCTGCGACAAACAGCTGAACCACAAACAGGCAAAACCCGCGGGTCTCGGTCCACTTCGGTTCAGTTCAGCGCTGATGGAATCGTGTTCTGTGATTAAACGAGGGAGTTCTTTAACAGATCTGGCTCTCCTTCTGTTCTAGCAGCACTTTCCAAGCTGTACAGTCAGTGTAATCAGCTTGTTTACTGTTGGACTCTTTAAGACTCTCATCTGCTCTCCTATGGTTTCTGCAGCTCGAGCTGCTGCTGTTAAAATGGCAAACGAGCCTTAAAATATTAGTGAAGATCCGCGTTTGATTTCAGTTCACTGTAATTCAAATGAATCACAGAAACCCTCTGAACTAAAGAGACGTCCTGAGACGAGAGTATTAACGTCACTGTCAGTTTGGTTTTTGTGACTGAACCGGTCGGATCTTTTTCAGGCCCTGATTCTCCTGTTTTCATTGTCAGCACCTTAGAAAAGGAAGGAAAACTGCATTTAAAAAGCTTCTCCTAGTTTTCCTGTGGGCTGATATGCTTTGTTTGTATAAACAGGGTGGAAAAGGTTGAGAACCCCTGGCTTTGGAAACCGTATGACTCACTGTGAGCCTTAAACATGAACTGAACTTCTCTGTGTAGCTGAGTGTTGAGGGCAGATACTTTAGACTGCAGGTGTTTTGCTGAATTCTGACTCCCTGCAGAATCACGTCCACACACGTCTTTCAGGCATGTGGACACTATGAAGTACAGTCACGATATCTGTTATTTATGTCATTAAAGAACTGTAAATCCTCAGTTTGAATGAGTTTATAAATAAAAATAACAAAAGTGCTGAATCAGACGTGTCTGTATGTCTGTGTGACGAACGTGAACGGGAGTCAGAATTCAGCACAACACCTGTTTGTCTTCAGTCTCTGCAGTTTGGTTCATGTTTGTATCTCATAGTAAGACATACTCTTTTCTAAACCACACCTACAGTCTGCTGCACCTTAAAGAACACCTGGACTGGCTGAGAGGGGTTTTGCTTTGATGTGTTTATGGAAAAGATGTGGGCGACTACAGAGTTTTGGTGTTTATTAGCTATATTAGCCTCATGGCTCCAGCGCTAAAACTAAAGAAGCAGAATTTGGACACCAAACATGTCTTGACTGATCAACCATGTCTGGGTGAGTGGAACATTGTGTACGTCTGATTTTTCACCGAATTCAGTATCAGAGTTCAGACTGTAGACAAACGGAGAGACACTGAAGTGTCTGTGGTTATGAACGTGGTTGAATCTGCTCTCTGCACCAGAACCGTTGCGTTTCTAAGGAACGTCTGGCGAGAGGAGATTTTACCTTAGAATTGAACGCAACATCAGCGTCCAGACAGATTCAACTCTGAAGACGTCCTACCTACACATCCATACGTCCACTCCGGAAGTCCAGCCCTCGCAGCCAGCAGCATTAGGTTTAGCTAAAATGGATGTGGATGAGTTTTCATTCAGAGCATCACTGGATACATTAGACTGCCCAGAAGAGATCCTTGCTTGATGCCACAGAGGAACCACTTTTGGTTCCGTTAAGGAGCTTTCAAAGAATTTCTCTGTGGAGAACCATTTTTGTAAATAAGTTGTGAAAACCTTTTTCTTTTTTTATTCAAAGGAACCTCCAAAATGATATAATGGTTCTTTTACACGAGACACCTTGTAAGAACCCTTTATATTGGTATTGATATATTGAATCTTTATATAATGTGAATGTTCTTTAAACCTTTAAAGGTTCCTCACTCTGACAGTTCTCACACATCACGCTTTTTGAATACATGCATCAAAATGTGTTCCATCAACGCTGTTGAAGAAAAAAAAATCATAGTTTGAAAGCAGAGACAGAGTTTGATGGCCACTGTGAAAAAGGGTTAGTGGCCGATATTGTGATGACAGTTGACCTGTTAAATCAGGGTGTCTGTCTGTGTGTTTGAAATGAAGAATCTCAGACAGGTTTGTTTTTCCAGCAGCAGGTGTGTCCAGCTCAGGTTACTCGACCTCGAAGTGCACGTCTGGAGCCTCTAATGACCTTTCGAAGACTGACCTCTACGACTACGACAAGTGTTCGACCATGTGCCTCCACCCTGATGGGGAGGGAAGCCCCGCCTCCTCCGTGACGAGCAGCTCGTTGAACCTGCGCTGCATTCCCAGTCACGGTAGGGGACGCAGCCCGCTGTCGGTCGGCACCACTGCAGCCAGTCTGAACGTCTCCTCCACGTCATCCTGCCTTCCTAAACCTGGTGACCCTGGAGCCCCGCCCCTTCCTGATGAGCTTGAGGCGGAGGGTCAGGATATGGACGCTGGGGCCTGCGGGAGCACAGGAAGTAGTGGGGATGCCAACTTCCAGCCACTACGCTCCCGTTCCCTGACCCCTTCGGTCGGTAACACGCTTTAAGGGTTCAGAACGTCAGGACGCCTTGCAAATATAAACGTGACTGTGATTAACCAGTGTGGTTACAGTGGGACATAAAATTAGGTAAGAATAGCTCCTTAAGAAAGCTGTAATTAATAATCAACTCCAGTTATTGAGCTGTTAGTGTTGAGGGTAAAGGTGGTGGTGTTCCTCAGGGCTCAATGTGAGGACCGTCTCCTGTTTTGAGAAAAAAAAAGCACCAAATTGACTCCATGTGGAATATTTCAGCTATCATGCTCCTTAAGTTAAGTCATATGTATGATATGCCAAGAATGTCTACACACTGACATATTTACTGTGAGCATCAGGAAATTATTCAGTTACTGCTGTAGAAAATACAACTATACAGAAAGTTGCACATACAGACCAGTACTGAACGTCCGGAAAGGTAATTAAAATATATTAGCAGTTTCAGTATGTCATATGAATAAGAATGCATATTGACAAATGTATAGGACTGGAGTCAGAAACAGAGTTTGTCACACTGGCGGATCTTCTGAGGCGTTTTCAGTCTTGAGGGTACACTAGTTAGGATTTTCTTATGAATATACATTTGAATACTGTATAAAGGAAAAGTTAGTGTATAAGGTTTGTGATATTGTAGCATCTGTTGTTGGGTCTGTAACGGCTTGTCAAACATTGCGAACTGGTGCTTCTCATAGAATTTATCCAAATGTGTTGCCGTCAACTGTTTTTTATTTTTTAGTGTTCTTCGTATGCGGGTGGCTTGTTGCTGTATTTGACTGAAGATGTTTATTTTGATGATGCTGTAGAAATTGGTTCATCAGTTCATCGTAAAAATGCAAAATCACACTTCAGATTAGCAAAAGTGAGATTTTACAATAATTCAAACCCCGAACGTCTGTTCAGCTTTTCACAGTCCAGGGCAGGTGACAGTAAAATACTCAGTGTTCAGATCACAGATTTGAACACAGGGGGCGCCACTGGTTCTGTCAGCGCTGTAATTCCTGGAAGGTGGTGGAACAGGATGCCTTACAGTCATTATCTACAGTAATCAGGGTATTTATCAGTACAGGGCTTTTGCAGAGCTCACTGCTCACACGCCCTGTTTACACCTGAGTCACCGGAAACACTGAGCTCATTAGTAATACTGAAATACAAAGATCATATCGTCACATTATTGAGAGGAAGATAAATAACCTCTTGGTAAAGGGGGGGTTGGGGCAGGGTTATACTCTCCTGTCTGTAATGCCTGTCCTGTATCTCCTGCTTTACTGTGTGTCTTGTGGGGGTTTACCTGAGTATGAGTATCTGAGTATCTCTAAACTCCGAGGAACTGACGGCTGAAAACTGAAATATTGCTGATAAACACACAGACCACACAAATAAACACACAGACCACACAAATACACAGCTATTCATCATTTATTTTTATTATCGTTTATATTCATACATGTGGATATGCTGGTCTATGTTATTTTTAAATGTATGTATATGTAATGATTATGTAATGTTTTCATTAATTGATGTTGATAAACCATAAAGTTTCATAAATTGATTTCAGTGTCACTGTCCTATGTTGTGAGTACATTTTAAAAGTGGCTTTATATAATTTCAAGTTAAAATATTTGTATAAATACACAAAGTGACTGGCGTTACTATCAAAATCCTACAGGGACAGTAGCCGTATTATTGGACTTATATTGTGTGATTTTATGTCCCAAAACCAGCCATAATTCATTCATACATGTCTATTTTACAAACTCTGTTTATCCCTGAATGGGTGGAGCTAAACTGCTGTTCAGCTCCACCCATTTAACTACTAAATGGTGTTTTGGCTGTAACTCGTCACTCCTTCTGGAGGTGAGTGTCGCCCGCAGTGGTGCTGGTTATGATGGACAGATATGCAGTGAATGTGAACAGACTGGATGAAGATGAAGATACAGATGAGGAATGGAGCTTCTCTGTAGATGAAACATGGCTTTGAGCAGATCTGATCTGTAAGGTCACTGCCGGTCAGTCAGACACTGGTTCGGCCGGTTTGAGCGGACAGTAGTGACAGTAGCTACATGATCTCAGATCCTCACCAGCACTTGTTCACACTGTAAGTGTTCTGAGGCTGCACTGATGTCTGAGCAGGCTTTAGTGGGCAGCAGCTCCAATGAGAACATTTCGGTCCTCAGCAGAGTGACCAAAGCCGACCTGGAGGCTCTAGAGGAGCTCAGGAGGAAGCTCAAATACTTCTTCATGAGCCCGTGTGAGAAGTATCGGGCCAGAGGACGCAAGCCATGGAAGCTAATGCTCCAGATCCTGAAAATCGCCATCATCACCGTTCAGGTAAGAGGAACACGGTGCACTAATAACAGCATTTCAGTTATTCTGATTAGGACTGTCACGGTTATTACATCATCGCCTCCTTGCAGTCATTTTCACAGCTGTTAGTTTTCACAGTTATGTTTATGTTGTAAAAAATCAGGATGTGAAATGGCTGCATTTTTATCAGAGTCAAGTACATGTAAACTAAATAACGTTACGTGTCTTACAAAACAACAAAATGACTGATTTCTAACTGTAGCTGTAAAGACTTCAGAGGGCGCCAGTCTTTGTTTGGCCACTTTAGGCTTTTAAATTGTTACTTGCAATTATTTACATGGTAGTTAATTGTCATCTACACTCCTGGGTAAAAATGGGCCAAGACCAAAATATAATGCTGTTACTGCTGGTTCTGGCTGGTCAGAGTCCAGATTTAAACCCTATAGTGAATATTTGGTCTCACATTAAACTCAAACCAGCTCAGCAGTGTTTTTCACCTGATTGAAGCCATCAATGCTGAGTGGATCAATACTGACTCTTCTTTCTGTAAAAGACTATCTGAACATTCACACACTAAACTACAGCATTTAAAGACAAGAAAAACTCTCCGCACTGACTGACTGTAGCTGTTTGTTTAATGATCTGTTGTTAAGACCATTAAAAGCTTTGCCCAGGAGTGTATGTATTTCATAATGGTGACAGGCCTCATTCTGAACTATGTCCAATTATGTATTTCCATTGCACGAGGAAACATGCTCATTTGTGAAATTAAAATCTTTCTAAGCATCACATTTTGGATACATTTCAGTAATTTCATCTGTGCTCTGACCAGGCTCGGCTCGGCTCGGCTCGGCATTTGTTTCTAATTCCCTAATGAGCATAACGTCTTTTATTGAAGCAAACAGTCACAACTTTGGCTCAGATTTCAGCAACACATTCATACTTTTTTATTATGAAAGGCTGTTTTGTCTTTTAAAGGTTTTTTCATGTCTTTCATGTCTTTAATTGTTTTTGTAGTTGATTTCTTTTGGGCTGAGTAATGAGATGATGGTGACGTTCACAGAAGAAAACCTCATCTCTTTCAAGCATCTTTTCCTCAAAGACTATCAGGACAGAGACAGTGTTCATACCATCTACACAAAGAGCCAAGTGCACGACCATATCAACTACGTCATTATGAGGGTAACAGAAAAGACACACCTGAGTCTTTAGCTAACTTTGTGTGTTTAGCTTCATATCTGAAAGTCATTTAATGCTGGTTTAATATATTTGTGAGAAAAAGTAAAGATGAATCTTTAAGTTGATTCTGAATTTCATGTGAAGAATGTCTCCTTCAGAAAGCTGTAATCAGTAACTTACAGTATCTTGGTATCTTATTAGTATCTCCAGCTTCTAAGCTCTTAATATTAAGGCTAGTGGTGGCATTCCTCAGGGCTCCATATCAGGACCCTCTCCTGTTTTCAGAAAATATCAGCATTGAAATGACTTCAGTGTGGAAAAATGCAGCTGTTTGGCTTCTTTAAGTCTGAGGAGTCCAAGGGTTACATTAGCAATGATGAAAGATGCACCTTTGGAGACATTTCACTCTTTTAACACTAGTTTATACTTTCGTACGTTCAAATTGTGCAGAAAGCTAATTGCAGATTGTGATGGTGTAGCTACCCATGAAATGTGGCAGTGCAGTATTAATGACAGTGTTTGGTAATGCAGTGAACTGAATTCCCTTTTCTGGCTTTCAGTCAGATTTCCAGTTAGTTATTGCATTTATTGAATGTCTTCATTTCTCTCTCTTTCAAAATGGAGTGTTTCCATCCATTGAAAGGTTCTTTATGGAATGTAAAGTGCTTCTTTAGAACCTGTTTTAGCACTTTTATTTTTAGGAGTACTGGTTTAGTATCTAACATCGCTGGGTTTGTATTTATGGTGAAGTGAGCGGATCTCTGCGGGTGAAGATGCTTGGCTGGTTTGGTGGGATGTTTCAGTGTTTATCTGATTGTTTATCTGATGTGTTGTTGTGTTTCGATGGTCAGTACCTGACGCTGCAGAATGTGACAGTGGGGAACCACGCGTTTGAGAGGACCCACGGAGTCTTCACTCCACTCTCTCTCTGCCAAGAGTTCTATCGCCATAGCAGCATCTCCCCCAGCAACGAGACCTTTGACATCGACCCACACGTGGAGAAAGGTGCAGCGTTTCATTCACTTTAACACCAACAGAAACACGACCTCTAACATTAACACTGACACTATTACTAACATTAATATTATCAGAGCGTGACCATCTTAGCAGCTCTGATTATATTTCAAATTACATTAACTTCAGTTAAACTCATAGAAAAGTAATGACTGATCTTCTTCTGGCAGAGTGTGTTTACATTTACCCGATGAAACCCTTCCAGAATGAAGCTTTTCCAAACGTCACCAACTTCACTCTGGACTTCAAAAGGTAACCGTTTTCTGCAATGGCAGTAAATTGTGAATCTATTTAGTTTAAATGGTGAATCTTTTCTCACTCAGAGTCATTAGATTCTGTAGAATTGCTGACTGTGCAGTCGGACTGGAAGCTCCTCCAGTCTGAACGTTTTTAACTTTGGCTATGGATGTTGGTGGTTTACAGGATATTTATCAGGAATGTACAATGAATACTTAACTCAGTGCTCATTAAGAGCTGTATAAAGAGACGGTCTTCAGTCTGCATTTGAAGGCCGCGAGAGACTCTGCTGTTCGGACATCCAGTGGGAGTTCGTTCCACCACCTGGGTGCCAGCACAGAGAAAAATCTTGATGCTTGTCTTCCACGCGTCTTGAAGGATGGCGGGTCGAGCTGAGCTGTACTTGAAGCTCAAAGGGCTCGAGGTACAGTTCGAGTTTTGACCATTGCCATCAGGGAGGGAGGGGCTGGTCCATTTTTGGCATTGTAGGCATCAGGGTTTTAAATCTGATGCAACTACAGGAAGCCAGTGAAGGGAGTGCAGCAGTGGGGTGACGTGACTGAACTTAGGAAGATTGAAGACGAGCCGAGCTGCTACATTCTGGATGAGTTGCAGAGGCTTGATGGCCACATAGGAAGACCAGCCAAGAGCGAGTTGCAGTAGTCGAGCCTTGAGATGACAAGAGACTGAAAAACCTGCATGACCGAGTCAGGTTCTCAGTATGAGCTGAGAACGATAATTGGCCGTCCAGAATCACACCAACTTGACCGACTTCATGTCTCTACATACGGAACAATCAGAGAGTTCTCAAATGAGATGGCAAGATCATGATGAGGACCTGTAGTTGCAGGGATGAACAGCAGCTCAGTCTTGAGTGTTGAGTGTTGAGCTGTCATCCATGTAGAGACGTCAGTCAGACATGCCGAGATCCGACTGGAAACCTGTGTGTCAGAGGGTGAGAAAGAAAGCATTAGTTGAGTGTCATCAGCATAACAGTGATAAGAGAAGCCATGAGAGGAAGTTACATCACCAAGAGAACGAGTGCAAAGAGAAAAGAGAAGAGGACCCAGCACCAAGCCTTGTGGGACACCAGTGGAGAGCCTGTATGGAGAGGATGTGGTCCCTCTCCCTGTTACCTGATAAGAGCGAGCCTCCAGATAGGACTTGAACCACTTCCATGCAGAGCCAGTGATTCCAAGTTTAGAGAGGACAGACAGATGAATAAAGTGGTTGACTGTATATGTTTTGGTGTATTGTTGCTATTGTCTATGTTCCACTGCTGTGTAAACAGCTCCTCCAGATACGTCTGATTATTCAGTGTATTTCAGACTGAAATATTCTAATAGAATTAAATCCTGATGAAGTTTGAGACTCACTAAAGTACTGAATCAATTTCTAAAGAATTGTAATTAAATTGAATCGTTCTGAGCTCAGAGATTTATAACGACTATATAAACTCTGATTGAAGTGTTGAACTGTAGGTGCTTACAGTGCGACTGTGTTTATATTGATTAGAAATACATTGATTATAAACAGACTGATTATAAGTCTTTAGATTACAGAAGCAGCTGACAGGCTCTGATGTTCGTTCTCTGTTTCAGGCTGTTAGCTGTCAACATCTTCCTGAAGGTGAAGGCCATTAACCTGCAGACCGTCCGGCACGATGAGCTGCCTGACTGCTACAACTTCAGCATCATGGTCAGTGAATACTGACTAATAATATCTAATATTTAATTATTATTCACTGAGTTTGAGTTTAATGAACCGAATGAATGATTTATTACTGCAGTCTGTAAATCAGTAAGCTCAGTAAATTCGGTCTGATCGAGTCGTAATGCTGTGTAAAGATCATTTCCTGAATGATAATAAATCCTCCTCTCTTTAACTCTGACGGTCAGTATAGATCTGATTGGCTTACACAGGTGTCAACAGCTCATCAATCATCTCTCAGAGTTTCATTCAGAATTCATTCTAATCAGCCAAGTAAAGTATCAATACTAAAGATCAAATACATTTACACATAAACACAGTTATTTTTTATTTTTTCAAATTCTTCCAGTTTAGCTGAGTTCTATGAAGCTTCACCGTATCTTTTCAGACTGCCGCTAACGCAGCGCCACCGTACAGCCGAACGTGCTGAGTGATGTGGGGAGACGGGGGGACATCCTGCCGCCCCAGAGAGAGAGAGGACAATTGTGCTCTCTTAGACTCTTAGACGGACGGCTGTAGCATTACCAGGGATCGAACTTGCGATCTCCTGATGAGACAACGCATAGACGGTTGCGTCATATATATATATATGTGTGTGTCCATCAGCAGCCCCTAATTTAATGAAGTATTGATTAGAGAAAGCAGGTATTGATGAATAACACCAGTTAATTCTGGTCTTCCTATACAGAGAAACAGATGGACTACAGTCTGTAACTGCAGAAACACAGAGTGAAACTATGTGGTCAGTGGAGCTGATAAAGTGGACAGTGAGCGTAGAAACTTCATGAAGCGGCCGTTCAGTGTGTATTTATAGTACACTGTGATGTCAGTTCGGTAGATTTAGAGCAGAGTTACAGTTTCAGAGTAAAAACAGAAACACACACTCCTCTGTTTACATCACACACACACACTGCTAAGGCCTCAGTAAAAGACACGCCTCCTCCGCTGGTGACTGACCTGCCATTGGGAGTCCGTCTACCTGCCCAGGCTCTGTTGTGGTTTGCTGTGCTGAGCTGTTTTCAGCGAGATTAGCTGGTCTGTTTGTGTTGCAGATCGACTTTGATAATCGAGCTCAGAGTGGACAGATCAAAGTGTCTCTGAACAGCGAGGTGGAGATCAGTGTGTGTAAAGACTGGAACGTCTCCGGATCCAGTGAGTTCACTTACTGCATCACAGCCACAGCAATCAAACACAATGCTCTCATTAATAAACTCATACTGACATTTACATCTGTATTATTACACAGTTATAACATTACAATCATTATACAATCATAGTCCGACTTTCAGTCAGTGTTTCAGTAATGCTTATTTTCTCCAGTAGGGGGTGCCCACCCATTCAGCCTACAGCAGTTTAGCCCCACCCATTCAGCCTACAGTGGTTTAGCTCCACCCATTCAGCATACAGCAGTTTAGCCCCACCCATTCAGCCTACAGCAGTTTAGCCCCACCCATTCAGCATACAGCAGTTTAGCCCCACCCATTCAGCCTACAGCAGTTTAGCCCTGCCCATTTAGCCTACAGCAGTTTAGCCCCGCCCTGTTTAGATGTGAGGGTTAATAAGAGGTTGATTGTCCTTCCTGCAGATGCGGTCAGTCACTTCCTGATGATGGTTCTGTTTGACTCCCTGGTCATTCTGTCCTGCCTGCTCTCTTTGATGCTGTGCATTCGTTCTGTCATTTCCGGAGTCCAGCTGCTGTCTGTGAGTGACCACCGGTGCCCTCTGCAGGAGTGCAATACCTTTACCTTTACTTAATCAGACAAAACAGTATCTCAGTATAAAAGTGACCCCTCAGTCTGTCCTGCACTTTCCAAAAGGCTTCAAATATAAATGAACATGTTTTCAGTAATTCAGGGTGTCATGATTATACAGCACAGATCATCAGTGTAAGTGTAGTCTGCTCTGTTCTGTAGAGAAAGTCTTCACCTTAGAACAAAAACACATGAAACCTGATACATGTGGATCGTTACAGCCCTCTAACCCTGCTGTCCAGCCGTATCCATAAAGAGCCGGTGTGGCTGCAGGATTTTATCCCAGCAAAGCCGGAGATCACCTGATTCTACTGTCCTAAAACCTGCAGTTGCACCGGCCCTTTATGGATAGAGCAGACACCTAAAATGTCTGATCATATTAAAGCCTCATCAGATTATTTAGAGGAAAACAATATCATGTGTGACTGTTACAGCCTGGAAATCCAGAACTAGAAACATAAATAAACAGCACCTTTTCTCCCCACCTGCACTCAGACAAACAAAACAACAAAACACAAAATTACAAGCCAAATATCATAGTTTAGTTCTTCATGGCACCTTTATCTTCAGGGATGAGAGAGCCTGAAAATAACAAACAAAACCTCAAATACCAACTCATTATGAATAATCAATAAACCAAAAAAAAACTAAGAAAATACAATTTCTGCCTCTCTGTGTAAATAATAAACAGCCCAACCCACAAACAGACAGGCCTCATCTCCTACAGAGCTAACTTGGTTTGCAACTACAGTGAAGCTGTGATTAAAGAGAAACAATAAAGTAAAATAATCCATAATAGTAATTAAACATCTCACACACACACAGAAAAGAGAGGGAGCCATTCCCAAATCCCAAACCCGCCATCCTTTTATAACCGGGCACAAGCCACCGTAGGCAGAGCACACAGAGAGCCGGCTAGTCTCCATGCTAGGCTAATACATAACGGCTAACCCCAAGAGGATCCTCTGATAGTAAACTGGACTAACTTAGCTTCCGCTCGGTGGTTAGCATTCCAAAAGTGTCCACCTGTAGAGAGCCGTATGCCCAGATGAACGTGTTTGGAGTGATGTTGTGGTAACAGATGAAGGTTTTGGTGTGTAATAGTAAACTGTGTGTGTGTGTGTGTGTGTGTGTGTGTGTGTGTGTGTGTGTTAGGAATACTCCCGGTTTGTCTCCGCCCACCGCAGGCGGTCAGTGTCATGGTCAGAGAGAATGGAGTTTATTAACGGCTGGTACATCCTCATCATCATCAGCGACACCCTCACTGTTTCTGGATCAGCACTCAAGATATTAATACACAGCAAGGTACACACACACACACACACACACACACACACACACACACTATACACGCACACTACACACGCGCACACACACTACACACACACACTACACACACACACACACACACACACACACACACGCGCACACACACTATACACACACACACACACACTATACACACACTATACACACACACACACACTATACACACACTACACACGCGCACACACACTACACACACACACTACACACTATACACACACACACCCTATACATACACACACATACTATACACACACAAACTACACACGCGCACACACTGCACACTATACACGCACACACACTATACACACACACACACTATACATACACACACATACTATACACAGACACTATACACGCACACACACTATACACACACACACTACACACACACACACTCACCCATACACTATACACACACACACTACACACACACACACACTCACCCATACACTATACACACACACACACTACACACGCACACACTATACATACACACACACGCTATACACACACACCACACACACACTGCACACTATACACACACACACTACACACACACACACACACACACACGCTATACACACACACTACACACACACACTACACACTGTACACGCACACACACTATACATACACACACACGCTATACACACACACACCACAAACTATAGATACACACACATACTATACTCACACACACACTACACACTACACACACACACGCTATACACACACACCACACACACACACACACTGCACACTATACACACACACACCACACACACACACACACACACACACTATACACACACACTACACACACACACACTACACACGCACACACGTTATACATACACACACACACACTATATACACACACACACACACACACACTCTACATACTACACACACACACACTATATACTACACACGCACACACACTATACATACACACACACACTATACATACACACACACACTATACACACACACACACACTCTACATACTACACACGCACACACATTATACATACACACACACACACATATATGTGGACTATTCTACTGAATTAGTTGAAACTGGTTCCCACAGTGAACAGAACTGTTTATAAATCTATAAAGTAATCAGACTTTAGATGTTTACAGGGTTCTGATCTGATCCATATGAAGTGTTGTGTACATTATTAACTGTGAGTCACTGTATGAATGTGTGTATTGTGTTGCAGGAGCTGACGAACTACAATGTGTGCAGTATTTTGCTGGGCACTGCTACCATCCTGGTGTGGATGGGAGTGATGCGTTACCTGGGATTCTTCCAGAAATATAATGTAAGAGATCCCACAGCACTTCCTGGAACAGCACTTCCCGGAACAACTGGGTGGTTTATAAGATCAAAACATCCATATTAGTTTGAAAAGAGAGCAGGCAGGAGGGCAGAGAGCAGGCAGGTGATCAGAGAGCAGGCAGGAGGGCAGAGAGCAGGCAGGTGATCAGAGAGCAGGCAGGAGGGCAGAGAGCAGGCAGGTGATCAGAGAGCAGGCAGGAGGGCAGAGAGCAGGCAGGTGATCAGAGAGCAGGCAGGTGATCAGAGAGCAGGCAGGTGGACAGAGAGCAGACAGGAGGACAGAGAGCAGGCAGGTGGGTAGAGAACAGGCAGGAGGGCAGAGAGCAGACAGGTGATCAGAGAGCAGGCAGGTGGACAGAGAGCAGACAGGAGGACAGAGAGCAGGCAGGAAGGCAGAGAGCAGGCAGGTGGGTAGAGAACAGGCAGGAGGGCAGAGAGCAGGCAGGCGGGCAGAGAACAGGCAGGAGGGCGGAGAACAGGCAGGAGGGCGGAGAACAGGTGGGTGGGCAGAGAGCAGGTGGGTGGGCAGAGAGCAGGCAGGCACGTGGGCAGACACGCACCAGGGAAACCCATTAACACAAATCCAGGAAACGAGAGTCAAACATGGAAAGATATCAGACACAGAAACCAGCTCACAGCTCACAGCTCAGCTATGAAACACAGAGACTCAGGGCTCTTGGCCAAATAAAGGTGTGTAAGGAGGGGTCACCGTTAAGGTGAAGCCTGTGGCTGGAGGTGACCCCTCCTCACACACAAAACCCACACAGCTAAACCTCCCAACAAAGAACATCACAATAAACACACACACCTTAAACTAACAAACAACAAAAATAAACAACATTTAGTCCCTTTGTTGGCGGGCCAGCTGCATTGCCACACCTCCAGAGTCTCTCAGTGCCAATGAGCAGTGGGTCACTACAATATTAATTAATTATATGAATTAAATCACTGGATGGTTGAACAGCTACATCAGCCCCGTAGCTCCAGCTAAAGCTAAAGAAGTGAACTTCAGATACTCATTGAGTGTTGAGGGGGTAAACTTGGGGAATTACAGTGTCACTGAACTCAGTAACTCAGTAACTCTGTAACTTTAAACCCAGTGAGGTGATGAGTGTGTCTGAGTGTGATTTTTATGGCGTGTGCAGATACTGATCCTGACCCTGCGGGCGGCGCTGCCCAGTGTAATCCGCTTCTCTCTCTGCGCTGTACTGATCTACCTCAGCTACTGCTTCTGCGGCTGGATCGTCCTCGGACCTCACCACGAAAACGTGAGACACGCAGCAACAATATACACATACGATCATCTCGTTCTGGTCTAGACGCCCACATGTGAGCGGGTGAGAATTGCTCATAAGACAATAAATTTCTCAAAATCAACATTCAAATGAAAAACAGCCTGTAAGCAGTGTTAGCCTGTGAGGATATTCTACAGTCCTGATGGAGAACCGTCTCAGGTGTCTCCCTGTCAAGAGAACACCTAAGCTCCTTTCACAGGTGCAGTTTTACCTGGAATTCACTGGTAATTAAACATTAAATCAATCCTGGTTACCTTTACGAGACCTAGTATACACCTGGGGAACTGTGTGAGCAGAAGCTGGTACATTATCTGGAAACACAAAGACATCCAGATTACAGCTCAATGTTTCTGTGAGGTTTTCTATGTTGTTTTGTGGAATTTCCATTTTATGTAAATGAAATGGGCAATGCACTGTCCAGTTCTACTGTATTTTAGACGTTTAATAATACACAGCAGAGCAGAGATAAGAACACAAACACCCCATAACTAGGTGTTATTTTAAAATAGTGAAAACAAAGAAAAACCCTTCTTCAGTGAGTGTCTAGTTCTGTAGGACACTGTATATGTGGACAAAGATGGACATTGTGGTTGTTCTGAGCTTAATTTCATTAAAGATTTCATTAAAAATCTGAATTTAAACACAAAATCTGAATGTGATAAATTTGAATCTGTATCTTGCCTGATTTCTGAAACTGAATTCTGAACTGAAATTGAACGTTAAGGTCTGTAAGAGAGCATGATAAAATCTGTTTTATGGTTTTATGATACAAGAACGTCTGAAATTCATCATCATCATCTTAACCTGCTTGATCCAGATAGGATTGCGGTAGCAGTAGGTAGAGCAGAGAATCCCAGACGACCCTGTCCCCCGCAACTTCCTCCAGCTCATGCCAGGCGATCCAGAGCCGCTCCCAGGCCAACTTGGAAATGTAATCCCTCAAGCGGGTACTTGGCGTCTCGTCCATGCCTGGTAAAACCCCACAGGGAGGCGTCCAGGGGGCATCCTGATCAGATGCCCGGACCACCTCAACTCCTCTCGCTCCTCTCAGTGTGGTGGAGTAGCGGCTCTACTCTGAGCTCCTCCCGGATGACCGAGCTCCCCACCCTGTCAGTGGATTGTAGCCCCCCACCCTGCGGAGAAGCTAATTTACGCTGGTCGTATCCATGGTCTCATTCTTTCGGTCATTACCCAAAGTTAATGACCACAGGTGAGGGTTGGGATGTAGACCGACCAGTAAACAGAGATCTTTGTCTTATGGCTCAGCTCCCTCCTCACCACTACAGTGCGGTACAGTGACCGCATTATTGCTGCCGCCTGTCCCAGCCTGCGGTCGATCTCACGATCCCTCTTCACATCACTCATCAACAAAACCTAAGATACTTAAACTCCTCCACCTGGGTGCAGGACCTCTCCCCTCATCTGGAATTCAGTTTCTAGAAAGAATTCAGTTTTCTCTAAGAAAGCAGGAGCGCTTCTTCCCCGGAACGGATGACTCAGAGAAAGAGGAGGACTCGCCAGGCTGCATCGGCCTCTGCAGCGGCGCAGACCACTGCACGCCAACTACACGCCAACTACATACCACCTTAACACACCACTACGCGCCAAACTACACACCACTACACGCCAACTGCACGCCAATTACATACCACCTTAACACACCACTACACGCCAAACTACACACCACTACATGCCAACTGCACGCCAACGACATACCACCTTAACACACCACTACGCGCCAAACTACCCACCACTACACGCCAACTGCACGCCAACTACACACCAACTACATATCACCTTAACACACCACTACACGCCAAACTACACACCATCTTAACACACCACTACACGCCAACTACACAGCAACGACATACCACCTTAACACACCACTACACGCCAAACTACACACCATCATAACACACTACTACATGCCAAACTACACACCAATGACATACCACCTTAACACACCACTACATGCCAACTACATACCAACTACACGCCAACGACATACCATCTTAACACACCACTACACGCCAACTACATACCACCTTAACACACCACTAGATGCCAAACTACACACCATCTTAACACACCACTACATGCCAACTACTTACCACCCTAACACGCCAACTACACACCGCCTTAACACGCCAACCACATACCACCCTAACACACCAACTACACACCGCCTTAACACGCCAACTACACACCGCCTTAACACGCCAACCACATACCACCCTAACACACCAACTACACACCGCCTTAACACGCCAACTACACACCGCCTAACCACCCTGTCAGTGGATTGTAGCCCCCCACCCTGTGGAGAAGCTAATTTCCGCTGGTCGTATCCATGGTCTCATTCTTTTGGTCATTACCCAAAGTTAATGACCATAGGTGAGGGTTGGGATGTAGACCGACCGGTAAACAGAGATCTTTGCCTTATGGCTCAGCTCCCTCTTCACCACTACAGTGCGGTACAGTGACCGCATTATTGCTGCCGCCTGTCCCAGCCTGCGGTCGATCTCACGATCCCTCTTCACATCACTCATCAACAAAACCTAAGATACTTAAACTCCTCCACCTGGGGCAGGACCTCTCCCCTCATCTGGAATTCAGTTTCTAGAAAGAATTCAGTTTTTCTACTAATTCAGACTCACTTTCAAAATGACATCTGGGTGTCTAGCAGGCAGAAACAGTTGAACACCGAATCTCTGCAGGTAATACGGCTTGTTTTATAACAGACATGGTGTGAAATAGCAAAGTGTGTGAAACAGAGCATGAATGTACTGTAGCATGTAGAAGTTTCTAGAGGCCTGTTAAACCCAACAGATCTGTGGTGGTCCTCTGGTGGTCCTGTGTTGGTCCTATGGTGTTCTTATGGTGGTCCTCTGGTGGTCCTGTGGTGTTCCTATGGTAGTCCTGTGGTGGTCCTCTGGTAGTCCTGTGGTGGTCCTATGGTACTCCTGTGGTGGTCCTCTGGTAGTTCTGTGGCGGTCCTATGGTAGTCCTGTGATAGGACCTAGGGGGTTGGGGGTGGGGGGGTGATAAACTGCTGGGGGCTGCAGTCTATGCGTGTACCTGTATGGTAGGTGTTTCTGATAAAATGTGAGTATAGGTGCAAGGTGGTGGGGGAAGGCAGGGGACAGGAAGATATTCTGTGTTGGATTGCTTTTGCCTGTTAGACACCCAGATGTCATTTTGAAAGTGAATCTGAAAATATGAATTAATAGAAAATAAAGTGAATTTCAGCTCAGAGTTCGGTTTCAGATGGTACAATTCAGATTCAAAACATTCAAATTCAGATTCACACATTTAAATTCAGGTTCTAGCTAAGCTCCTCTCTCTCCTCTCCGCAGTTCCGCACCTTCAACATGGTGGCGTACTGCCTGTTCTCCATGATTAACGGAGATGCCATCTACTCCACCTTCACTAAGCTGCGCGAGCGGAGCTGGGTGGTGTGGCTCTTCAGCAGGATCTACATCTACAGCTTCATCTCCATCTTCACCTACATGGTCCTCAGCCTCTTCATCGCCATCATCACCAACACCTACGAGACTATCAAGGTGAGACTCCGGAGTTCAATGTTCGGTCCAGCTCCTGTCACATCCACAGTGATGGGCAGGTCTGAGATCCCATCAGTGCTTACTGTGTGAACAAGACCTTCCAGTTCTGTTTTTAGGATGATCTCGTCAACCTGCCATCACCGATTCTTCTGGGAAAAGTTCTCCCATTTGAGGCTGTTTGTCCTGACCACCCATTCACCCCCCCATGTGAAATAACAGTGGGAGTAAAACACAAAAGAACAGACCCAAAAAAACATTCGCTATTTCAGCTGTTTCTGCTCATAAATGTGTCTGAAAAATTCAGCTGAAAAATTCAGCAGTTATTAATAAACAGAAACTACAGAAGTTGCGTGACGTGTATCCGTGAGATACTGATCCAGAGTGCAGGGTGGAGTTTAGGGTGAAGAGCACTGCACTGCGCCCCCTACAGGCCACAGCTGGAGTTATATTTTTATATTAGTCCAGAAGAAGAGAAGCTTCAACATAAACTGTACAAACTAGTGTGAGTTTAGATCAGCATCAATGTGTGTGTGTTAATGCAGTGACTGTGTGTGTGTGTGTGTGTGTGTGTGTGTGTGTGTGTGTGCAGCATCAGCAGCAGGACGGCGCGGTGTTCTCAGAGCTGCAGGCGTTTATAGCGGAGAGCAGGAACGCTTCATCCTCTGGAACGGACGACTCAGAGAAAGAGGAGGACTCGCCGGGCTGCCTCTGCCTCTGCGGCGGCGCAGACTGACTCACACCACTGCACGCCAACTACATGCCAACTACATACCACCTTAACACACCACTACGCGCCAAACTACACACCACTACACGCCAACTGCACACTAATGACATACCACCTTAACACACCACTACATGCCAAACTACACACCACTACACGCCAACTGCACGCCGAATACATACCACCTTAACACACCACTACATGCCAAACTACACACCACTACACGCCAACTGCATGCCAACTACATACCACGTTAACACACCACTACATGCCAAACTACACACCACTACACGCCAACTGCACGCCAACTACATACCACCTTAACACACCACTACACACCAAACTACACACCACTGCACGCCAACTACACGCCAACTACATACCACCTTAACACACCACTACGCACCAAACTACACACCACTACACACCAACTACACGCCAACTACATACCACCTTAACACACCACTAGACGCGAAACTACACACCAATGACATACCATCTTAACACACCACTACAGGCCAACTACACGCCAACTACATACCACCTTAACACACCACTACATGCCAACTACATACCAACTACACACCAACGACATACCACCTTAACACACCACTACATGCCAACTACATACCAACCACACACCAACGACATACCATCTTAACACACCACTACAGGCCAACTACACGCCAACTACATACCACCTTAACACACCACTACATGCGAACTACATACCAACTACACACCAACGACATACCACCTTAACACACCACTACATGCCAACTACATACCAACTACACACCAACGACATACCATCTTAACACACCACTACAGGCCAACTACACGCCAATGACATACCACCTTAACACACCACTACATGCCAACTACATACCAACTACACACCAACGACATACCATCTTAACACACCACTACAGGCCAACTACACGCCAACTACATACCACCTTAACACACCACTACATGCCAACTACATACCAACTACACACCAACGACATACCACCTTAACACACCACTACATGCCAACTACATACCAACTACACACCAACGACATACCATCTTAACACACCACTACAGACCAACTACACGCCAACTACATACCACCTTAACACACCACTAGACGCCAAACTACACACCATCTTAACACACCACTACATGCCAACTACACACCAACTACATACCACCTTAACACACCACTACACGCCAACTACATACCACCCTAACACGCCAACTACACACCGCCTTAACACGCCAACCACATACCACCCTAACACGCCAACTACACACCGCCTTAACACCAGCTCCCTACGCCTGTCAGATAATGTACCACTGTGCAGTGCAGGTCTTTCTGATCTGTACCAGTTTCTGGGTAACAGAACGTTTTAGACCTTTATAAATACACACTGATAAACTGGCCAGGAGCCCAAGGTATGTGTTTCTAATAAAGTGGCCAATTGGTGGAAATACAAGATGGTTGTTTCTAATAAAGTGGCCAGTTAGTGGAAGCAGAAGCTGGGTGTTTCTAATAAAGTGGCCAGTGGGTTTATTGAAAACATTACAATGAGATTATACAGCATTTAAGACCATATTATGTAAAATACTGCACTTTCCCGCTTCTGAACCGTGTGTTATTGATACAGTGAATAATTTACTGTTTTATTGTTTATATCTGTGTCCATTTTGTATTTATTAATCAATATAAATAAAGATTATGACTGGATTTTACACTCTGGAGCACCTTTTTTTACCCCCAGTCATTCATATTTAACTACCCCAGCAGCCAATCAGGGGTCGCCTCCCGCTCTGCTCATTTTCATATCAGCTGACCACCTGTTAAGGTAAACCGGCCGGCCTAGTGAGCCAATGGGAGAGTTGGACAGTAGTTGCTCGGCAACAGGTTGAACCAATCAGCGTGGAGGTTGGTGTTCTATGTGAGAGAGAGGAGCGTTTCAAAGCCGGAGAGGAGAGAGGGGTAAGCAGAGCTACAGCGGTGATGGCGCTAATTTTAGAGTTATTTTAGAGTTAAACCTGTTTATATTTGTAGCTGCAGCTCCTTAAATCGCCGCCGGAGGCTTTAAAGGTAAACGTGAGCAGAACATCTCTTAAATTACACCTCAACGGAGCTGGAGTTGGCGAACTTCCCGTTCCACCTTAAATGGTGCAGCAGTTGCATTGGGGCGCCTCGGGCGCCCCAATGCAACTGCTGCACCATTTAAGGTGGAACGGGTAGTTCGAATGAGAAGCCAGCTCACGGGGTTATAGTATCGCTGATGTTTGTTTATAAACATTTAATCGGTGGTAGTTTGTAGTTTTGGATCATAAATATGTTATTATATCCTCTAAATCAGCGTTCTGAAGATCTGCCGTTAGCTCGGCGGCTAAAGCTAACCGCAGGTGCCTGACAGGTCCCAGCTCTGGCGTTAGCTTTAGCTTTAGCCGCTAACTGAGATCAGAGCGTGAAAACAGAGACATTCTGTGGTAAAACCGTGTTTAGTTTGGCTGTCTTTACCCGTTGGTGTGTAATCGAGGGTCGGTGTGTGGCTGTGTTGGGTTACGTTCCTGTAGAACCCCAAACAGGTGGTCGGAGATCTAGAACGCTGATGTAAACAGCAGCAGATTAGAGATTAGAGGTTCTGCTGACTGGATGTGGACCTCATTCATGTTCTGGTGACTCTTTAACCCGGAAGGTGTTTCAGGTTCTCTGACTGAGCTGCACATGATCATCAGGCAGGTTGGCTGGAGAACCTCAGCCTCCTCCCGAGTTCTGGGTCTGGAGATACAGGGGTTTGTGAGGAAGTGCGAAGGTGGATTTATGGGTTTTGTGAGGTTTCTATGAGGGATTTTAGAGTTTTGTGGGGTTTTGAGAGGCTTTTTTTTAGTTGTTTCCTCAGAGTTTGTTAGGTTTTAGTGGGATTCTGAGGTTTTTGAGAGGTTTTTTGAGATGTTTCCTCAGAGTTTGTTAGGTTGTTAGTGGGATTCTGAGTTTTTTAAGGTTTATTGGCAGGTTTTTGGGTTTCTGTGAGATGTTTGTGAGGTTTTTGAGATGTTCCCTCAGGCCTTGTGAGGTTTTAAAGGGTTTATTAATGTTTTTGAAGTTTAGTGGAGGTTTCATGGGTTCTGTGAGGGGTTGTGAGGTTTTGGGTGAGATTTGAGGTTTCTTTAGATGATGGGGTTTGTGTGTGGTTTTTGCGAGGGATTTTGAGAGTTTTGTGATGTTTTGGTAAGATTTTGAGATGTTCCCTCAGGCCCTGTGAGGTTTTGGAGAGTTTATTTATGTAGTTGAGTGGAGGTTTCATGAGTGTCTATCATACATTGAGGTTTGTTTAGATGTTGTGAGGGATTTTGAGAGGTTTTGTGATGTTTTGTGAGTTTTAGTAAGATAATGTGAGATTTGTGAGTTTCTTGTACAGGTTTTTGAGTTTTTATAAGGTTTCTCTGGGTTTCTGAGTTTTTTTTTAGGTTTAGTGGTGGGTTAGTTGGTTTTTGTGAGATGTTATGAGGTTTTTGAGATTTCCCCAGGCCTTGTGAGGTTTTAGAGGGTTTATTAATTTGCTTGAGGTTTTGGGAGAGATTTGAGGTTTCTTTAGATGTTGTGAGGGATTTTGAGAGTTTTATGATGTTCTTAGTAAGATTTTGAGAGGTTTTCTCAGGGTTTGTGAGATTTTGTGAGAGATTTGTGAGTTTCTTGTGAAGGTTTTTGAGGTTTTAGAGGGTTTCTCTGGGTTTCTGAGGTTTATGTGAAGCTATTTGAGGTGATCTGAGCTGAATTTAGTCCACTCTGCCTGGCTGTGCTTTTAAACTGGATTTAAACTTGGGTTATTGGGTATCATGACTGTAAGTACGAGCTGATGTGTTGTGGTTTTTTTCATTCTCTTTCATGAATCTCCTGATTTTTCTTTTTTAAATTGAAACAGTTCACATTTCTGTAACTGTCCTGTTTATACAGTCAGTCTAATGTACAGTTAGTTTACTGTAAACAGTTTAAAAGGCTGTGTTCAATCACAGGCTGCACAGACAGACTGACACGCCCCACACACACTGCGCTGAACAGACTCTGTACGACGATGATATAAAGAGTCTGGTAGAGAATTCTGGGTAATGTGACCAGGTAAACTCCAGTAACTGAGCTCTGCTGTCCAGCGGAGAGTAAAGTGGACGAGCTTGTCCAGGAGACGGTGTCCAGTGTGGTACATCTAACCCGCTGGACGGTCAGTGTTCCAGGCCGTCTGTGTGGAACGTGGTTATTACAGGTTACTCAGTAACAGTAATAACTGCAGGTAGGACGTTTATGACTGTTCTCATCGCTATGGTGATAAACTACGTGACACTGTGATGTTCTTAGTTTATGGAGGACGTCATCGATATTTCATAACGCATTTCACTCCAAAGAGAGCCTAGTGAGTTCTGTTTAATTAGGTTTACTGTGTGGAGCGTTACACACAGAACATACTGTGGTTCTGCTGTTCCACCTGATCAGGCATCAGGAAATATGAATATCAGGACTATCAGGAAAGATTTTTTGCATTTTGCCCACCTCTGTCTATGTAGTGGTTAAAGATGGTTCTTCAAGGGTTCTCTAGGAAAGAAAATGGTTCCATATAGTACCATGTGTTCTATGTAGAACCATTTGCTTGCTTCAGTGGTTCTCTGCATGGTGAAATGGTTCTTCAGATTGATGGAGAATGTGTTGTATATGGTTCCATATAGCACCAGAAATGGTTTTGTTGTCATTGTGGTGTTAAGATACAGTATCAGAACACTCTTTGGTGCTATCTAGAACCATTTTGCAAAAGGTTGTACACAGAACCGAATACAACACATCCCCTATCAATCTGAAGAACCATTTCACCATGTAGAGAACCATTCTCTTTACTAGAGAACCCTTGAGCGCTCGTTCTGAGAGTGTGGTTCTGCCAGTGTGAGGGTCTGTAAGGCTCTGGTGTGGTGTGTAGTGAGGAGTGGGAGTGTAGTGTGCTGTCTGCTGCAGTGTGTGTGTGTGTGTGTGTGTGTTGTCTGCTGCTCTGTCTGAATGTGGTTGGTCTGGTTCTGCTGGAGCTCTTCATTAGAGACCCTGCCTGAGGCTGGGGTGGGATCAACGACAGCTGTGTATGTGTGGGAGTGTGTGTGTGTGTGTGTGTGTGTGAGTGTGTGTGT